AAAAAAAAAAAAAAAAAAAGTACAGGTACAAAGTAATTCATGTAAATAATAAAAATAAAAAACAATAAAAAGTATAGGTGAGAGTTCATATTCAGATTTAAGAAAAGAGGTTATAAAGTATGAAAACAAGACAAATAAAAGTTAACAAAAAAAAAGATCATCTAGATATGCATCTAAATATTAGGCTCTTGTTATCAAATTCTCTGAATCACATCCCACAAATCTAAAAAGGCCGAGGTTTAGAAGTTGGCTAGGAACTACAAATCTCGAGCACCAATTAAATCCAACTGTTGCTCAAACAATTAACATTAAAAAATTTAATGAATATCTGATTGCACAATATCAAAATATAATTTTTTCTTCAAAAATTTATATTTTGGTGATTGAACAATATCAAAATATAAATTTTCTTAAAAAATTTATTTATTCGGTCGATTTATTTACTTTTACATTAAAAGACTCAATTATTTTTGTTTGACGTCAACCTTTTTTTCTTTATTATTTGTTTACATTAAAAAATAATTGCACTTCAAATGTGCGATAGTGTTGATTGGTTGCACGTTAATGTCTTTAGAATTGCACTTTAGTGTTAGACAGACTGCAGCTTAATGTTTATCAGATTACACTATAGCGACTGAACCCGACTTAATTATTTTTGTGTGATTAAATTGTATGTCGAATCGATTATATGTGTTTACTTTTATGATTTTAATTATTTTAGACCGATTTTATTATATTTTTTTTATTTATTTTATTTGAAAACCGAAATAACCATACCGACCATACTATATAGAAATACTAGTTTTTATGTCTTTTTATAAAAGTATAATTTCTTCGATCAAATAAATAAAATCTGAGATGAAAATATTAATGTGCAATTTAATTTTCCTCACAAATTACATAACATTTGTATGCAAGTTATTAATTTTTCATAAATTATAAATTTGACACATGGGTTGAATTGTAATATATTAAAGTTTAGAAATTACAATTAAATTCTTTAAACATATCAAATTTTCACAAAAAAGGCCACAAATTCTAAAATTCAAAGTTGATGTTTGTGGTCTTCCTGTCTGTCGGCGACGGTACGGCGGGGCTGTGGTGGCTACGGGCTCAGTGGCGGCGGGCGAGGGCCGGCGCGGCAGGGTTGGTGGTTCTCGTTGCCAGCGACCTGCAACTTCTGGGGTGAGGTGACATGGCGGAGATGCAGTGGGCCGACGTGGCGAGGATGCTGTTGCCGGGTGGATGGCAAATGGCGGTGACCTGCAATTGGAAGAAGATGGCGGATGGCGGACGACGAGACGAGGATGATGTGGCTGGAGAGATAATGCGGAGCGGCGGAGTGGTGGCTTAAGGAGGAGGCGAGGTGGAGGTTTGTTGATGGCGGCGATTACGGTGGCCGGTGATATGAGCACTCTCACTGTGAGCTTTTGGATGAGTTGCCGGACTCGGAGAACGGTGGCGGCGACAGGTCTGACGACGGGGGCGACGTGCTGGCGGTCTCGTTGCGGTTGCGGTTGCTGTCGCGGTGGCGGTGGCGGTGGCGTCCGGAATCGGCGAACTGTGGTGGTGGTTGGGAAAGAAAGTGGTGAACGAGAGAGATGGAGAAGAGAGGAGCGAGAGAGAGAAGAGATAATTGTTGACAATTAATTATTGTGTGGGTCCCACTGAAATTATTGGTTAGTAAAGTACACCATTACCCTCCATGGTATTTATTTGTCCATGATATATCAATATAATTACAATTTTGCCATACAGGTTTTTACCATTATAATTTAATTTGGAATTTATAATGGCCATTGATGTGATTGATCTAATGGTTCATGATCATTCTTTTCTTTCACTCGTTTTTTCTATAGAGCAATCCGATTGTTTTTCTTATGGAGCAATCTGCCTATGTGGCGCTTATGTGGTGCAATGTGTATTAAAATAATTTACATGTGTTATATATTTTCTTTTTATTTTTATTCTAAATAGATTAGTAAATAAAAAAAAAAGAAATTAATAACAGACAAAGGGCCAAACGATACATCGGTGTCTTCTTCTTCATCTCTTCTGGACGCCACCAAGAAAACAAAAAGAAATTCTCATAGAAGGAAAACGTCGTTGTCGAATCTCCTCTAAAGGTAACGTCGTTGTTCTTCTTCTTCTCGAATTTTAGGATTTTTTGAAAATTTATAAGATAAACCTAATTGAATTCAACTATGTACTAATTAATTTTCTAATACATCGACATTCCTCGATATTGTAAGAACTTGAAGAACTCATGTAAGGATGTAGATCGACACAGTTATAATTTAATGTTGGGAAACATGGTTTATAATATAGCTCAAAGATCACAAAACAACACATTTGACCAAAAAATTGATGAATTTTCAGAGACTAATTAGTTTTAAAAACATGTATATATTTTTGAGTTCATCTCAGTTTGGTGAGTTCATTTTTTTTTTTTAATTCATGTAAATATGTTTAGATTTATTTTTATTATTTATGACATTCAGTATAGTTATTTTACGTAGGATGGAGATTGAGCAAGATGAAGTGTTCATACCACAGGTTCATTCGTCGGTCAAGCCTTTAATAGGACAGGAATTTCAATCGGCGGAAAAAGCTCATTGTTTTTATAATGAATATGCCAAACTTGCAGGATTTAGCACTAAAATTAAAAACAGCCAAAAAGATCCAAAAGCTGACACTGTTGCGGGAAAAATGTTTGCTTGCTCTAAAGAAGGGAAGACAAATGTGTCGTACCGAAATAAACGAGCCGCTGTGACAGAAACTAAGGAACGAAAACGTGGAGAGACTCGTTGTAACTGCCCAGCTCGAATGAGTGTTCGGAAAAAAAATGAAACTTGGGTGGTGAAACATTTTGTAGAGAAGCACAATCATCCGCTCGCTACTCCTAGGAAGGTTCACCTGTTGAGATCTCATAGAGGTGTGTCAGCCACAAAAAGAGCACTTGTCCAGGAGTACACGGAGGCAAATATACCCACATGCAAACAAATTAGATTGTTTGAAATTGATTCTGGTGGTCCCTCTATGATGGGTTGTTTGGAGAAGGATATCCGAAATAAAGAAGCAGCACGTAAAGCTGAATTAAGTGGACATGATGCACAAACTTTGATTCACCAATTTGAAATGGAAAAGGAGAAGAATGAGAATTTTTATTATGTTTATGAGACAGATGAGGATGGTGTTTTTACCAGGTGTTTCTGGGCCGATAGTGAATCAAGAAATTCATATGCAGTGTTTGGAAATGCGGTTGTCTTTGATACCACATATAATACGAATAATTATGGAATGGTGTTTGCACCTTTTGTTGGTGTTAATCATCATAGGCAGACCACTGTATTTGGTTGTGCATTACTCAGCGACGAGAAAGCTGAATCATTTGTTTGGTTATTCTCTACTTTTATAAAAGCAATGGTAGACCAGCCACATCCACAAGTTATTATCACTGATCAAGATGCGGCTATATCAATTGGTGTGGCTGAGGTGTTTCCGAAGACTATGCACCGATTTTGTATTTGGCACATTCTGAACAAATTTTCAGAAAAGCTCGGCCCTGTTCTTCATAAGTTACACTATCATACTTTAAGCGGTATTATTAATGATTCTGAGACTCCCAATGAGTTTGAGTGCAAGTGGAATTCGTTGATGAGAGATTCCCAATTGAATGGTAATGGATGGTTGGCAAAGATGTATGAAATCCGCCATCGTTGGGTTCCAGCTTATGTAAGGGGTGTTTTTGCTGCAGGTATGTCCAGTAGCCAACGAGTTGAGAGTAATCACGCATTCTTTAAAAGGTATCTAGACAAAAAATGTTCATTGAATGACTTTTTCACTCGTTTTAGTAGGGCTATTGCGCATCAGAGACATGAAGAATTGATGGCTAGTCATGTTGATCTAAATGAAAAGCCTCGGATCAACACCTCATTTGCTATGGAAAAGCAGATGGCAGAGATTTATACGAAGTCTATATTTTTGATATTCCAGAAAGAGTTCGAAGAAAGTGCGAGATATATATGCAAGATGGTCTCAAGTTCAAACGATTCTCGAGTTTATGAAGTTTGGCGGTTTGATATTGAGGTAAATACTCGACGTCGGAGACTTTTGACCTATGATGTCCCTGAAGAAGGTGGACGAAGGATGCAAAGTGTGATCTTATTTATGATACACCATTTGATTTTGAAGTAGGTGAATCTTTACAAGGCAGACGTGGTGCGCTGATGAAAATAACAAGAGAGCTAATTGATGATGCATCGTTGACTGAGGCGAGAAGCAAGTTTCTAATGGAAAAGCTCAAAGTTTTGAAATGGGAGGTTTGTCAGATTGACGACAAGGAATGCATGAGCAAGCAAATCAGTAAAAGCAAAGGCCAAAAGACATTTCTTGTATGCGACCCCGAGCCTATACGAATGAAAGGTTGTGGCAAGCGTCTAAAGTCGAGTAAAGAGAAAGCCATATCTCAAAGTGCTCGATCTTGTAGTTTGTGTGGACATAGGGGTCATGACAAGCGCAAATGTCCCAGTCATAGCAATCACTTTGAAGATGACCCATATCGTCCGGACATGTCAAAAGTGACAAATTCTAGTTGCTCTGATATTTGAGATATTTATTTTAGTAATGAGTAATTTTTAGATGACTGGTTTTGTTTTTAACGAGACATTAAACTATTTTTGTTACTTATAGTTTTAGCTATGTTTGTGGTTAGATTGATTACCCATTGGGATGCATTTTTAATGTTAACTGTTTGAGCAGAAGTTGGATTCTTAATTGGTGCTCGAGATTTTTAGTCCCTGACCAGCTTCTAAAACTCAACCTTTTGGATGAGCAACAGTTGGATTTAATTGGTGCTCGAGATTTGTAGTTCCTAGCCAACTTCTAAACCTCAGCCTTTTTAGATTTGTGGGATGTGATTCAAGGAATTTGATAACAAGAGCCTAATATTTAGATGCATATCTAGATGATCTTTTTTTTTGTAAACTTATATTTGTCTTGCTTTCATACTTTATAACCTCTTTTTTTAAATCTGAATCTGAACTCTCACCTATACTTTTTATTGTTTTTTATTTTTATTATTTACATGAATTACTTTGTACCTGTACTTTTTATTTTTTTTATTATTTATATGGATTACTTTGTTCCTTTTCTCCATGGATTTCCACATGCAGCTTTTTTGTTTGCCCCATTTTTCCAAAACATTTTCCTCATTTTTGCTACTAAACATGAAATAATAAACTAATGATTTGTTTGCAGAGTAAAATAATCAAAAGATTTTTGAAATCAATACTGGATTTGATCAGACAGAAGCTTTGGTATTGACCCACACATTATTAAATATTTCACTTTGTCATTTGTTTTTGCTTTTGCTTAATTTGGTTGAGAAATCAATAGATACAGAAGATGGACATTGAGGCCTGAGATTTGTTGTAATCTTTTTGAATCTTGGTTTCTGAATCTTGGAGCTAATTTGACATTGACAAAAGGGCAACAACAATAACAGCCTCAATATCTTTTATCTGTCGTGGACATTGTCATATTCAAACAACCATGAGCATCATGACTCTCAACTTTTTTTCCATTCAACAGCAACCATTTATGTTCCAAAAAGAAAAAAAGAAACTCCCAACATCTTCATTTATCTCACAACAAAGCTATATACCAATCACAAAGCTATATACCAACCACTGATTATGAATACATTTGCTCATATATTCACCAAAGTGTTGAACATACACAGTATAATAAGATCAACCACATCCACATTGTACACAAAAAATTGAGCCTAATGATCATTCCAAAACAAAATAGATTGCAGTGAACTAGGTATCCCAAATCATAACAACATTTGCCCCAACTACCAACAAGACAACCATAAACCTATACTCTGGAGTGTCGAATGAGACTTCCTTCTAAAGGTTATACCCCTTGGACAACAATTGTTTGATGGAAACATAGATAAACACCCACAAGCCACGCCCATTGACACCAGTTCGTCTCAGTCGGCAACTGGTCCCTGAGTCTTTTTTCTATTATAGTGCCACGGTTTTTCTATGGAGCAATCCGATTGTTTTTCTTATGGAGCAATCTGCCTATGTGGCGCTTATGTGTTGCAATGTGTATTAAAATAATTTACATGTGTTATATATTTTCTTTTTATTTTTATTCTAAATAGATTAGTAAATAAAAAAAAAAGAAAGAAATTAATAACAGACAAAGGGCCAAACGACCGCTGAAACCAGATTCCCAAAATCCCTAAATTGCTCTGGCTAAATCTGTTCGTCGTCGCAATAGCTCGCATCCCTAGCAGCCATGAGCGGCGGACG